CATTATTTTGTTTCTACTGATGAAAGCCATCCATCACTTTCCTTTCACATTGGGCTTGTGTTGATTTTCACAATGCAATGGATGCTACTGAATACAAAGCAGCAACCAGAGCACAAAGTCATCATTGACTGTGTGGAAGCTCTTGATATCAGACTCTCAGGTCTTTAGGCCACACCTCTTATTCATCTGTTTGAGTTTTTAGTAGAGTAACACAAATCACATTGAAAACACAGTTCTTTAAACCAGTTTAAGAGACATGTTCATCTGCAAATCACCAAACTCAAGTAAGCAGCAATACAGAAACCAAAAATATTGTCTCTACTCATATTGATTATGAGCAGAAGACAAACTGTATTAGACAAGAAGCCTGCAGGATGACAACCACCCCACCCGGTTAAATATTTACTGAGGTGCTGGAAGCCTCAATGTGTGCCAAACAGATTAGCAAAGATTTTGCACACTTAGAGTCGATTGCACTTATATCACTTTATTTAGCAAGCTTTCGTCTATCTGGATATGCTCTGATCAAGGTCAGATAGACCAAAGGTTATGAAATAAAGTGATACATACTGCATCAATCTAAGTGTTCATAGACCAACAAGAAGTGAAATTAGTGATAATTAAATATGACAGAATAATGATATAATTATGATTGTGTAGGCTCCTTGTCTTGTTGTTAGCTTGCAATGGTTAGGGCTGCACAGATAGTAGGCTGCTAAAAGTATGATTCTATTAAACTGGAAAATTTGTAACGCAAAGTATTTCTCAATAGAAACATGGTTACTAGAATATTTTAATCTTCTTGGATCAGAAAAAATAGCTGATACGATCAGCGATACTGGATACATTTCTGAAATGAATTTAAAATAAATAAATAAATAAACCTTATGGGCTTCATCACCAGGTATAAAAAAAAAGTGTGTGGTTTCCTGATCAAATGGTGCCACCTCCATACACCTTTCTCCCTCTCTTTCAGGTGTACCTGAGTAAGCCGGCTGTGTGTCCTCAGGGTCTCTACGAGCTCATGTTGAGTTGCTGGAACAGAGACTGCAAGCTCCGCCCATCCTTCGCCTACATCCACTCCTTTCTTACCGAGGACGCCATGAACATGGTGTAGAGAGAGAATCCAAGAAACACACGAAGGAGAAATGCAACAATGCTGGGGGGGGGAGGGGACATCTTGTACGTTTATACATCCTTGCTACAGCGGGAAGGTGTGGTGGAGGTGCTGCACAGTGGAGGCAGATGAGAAGGAAGAGTGGGTTGCTCGCTTTTTATATTTGTACTTTTTTGGGTGGATGGGCTGAGACACCGCTGGTTCGGTTTATTTCCACGTCAGACCCCAACCCCAAAGGCAAAACTAACCCCAGCTTTAGATAAGGTAACAGTCCGAGCTACATTTCACAGTGGTTGGTGGTGGGTGCGGTCTGCATAGGAACTTTCTCTCTTCTCATATACTTAACGTACGAGGAGGGTTTGTGTGACTGGTGATTAAGTGCTGTAGAGTTAATGACACAGGAAGCTGCAGGGGCTAAATTACAGAAAATACACCAAACTATGATCATAGCACGCTAGGAAAGAACAATTCTTAAGTTTCCCGACTTTTGTTTCTTCAACATCTCATATACTACATGCAGGGTAATAGGTGAAGGTGCACAAACTTTTCTCAACCGATCATTCAGATATAAAAGTGCACACACAGGGACTGTCTTAGTATTTATAGTATGTATAGCCTATAGTATAAAGTTTAATCTAATTAAGTAGGATTACTCCCAGCTTCAGCCCATTTTGCCCACCTGAGACAAAAAATGATAATCTACCTAGTCCATGAGAAGACTACCTTTCTGGCATTGCTAGAACATGAGTGATGAGATTTCATCATGTTTGCTGACCCTTTATTAGTCTGTCTGTCTCAACCCCAAAACCCTCTTACATAGTCCCCCACATCCACAGCTGTACCTCAAAGTTATTGTGGACTAATGTGAAATGATGTGGACCAGACAACAGCAGCCCCCTTTCTGCAATCCGACTATATAAGTTTGCCCTCAACCACAGACCCCCTCATTGTAGTCAAGAAGCCCAAGCAGTTTTTGAACCCCATCTTTGAGCCACAGAGAGAAGAACTGTATCCCTGGTGCCAAATGGACTCAAACCTGAGGAGACAGGCACAGAAGAGGAGGGGAGAGTCTGTTGCTGCCGATTGGAGCGACTTTTCCAAGCAGAAAGACAATGCTGCCAGCCGGGGCGGCTGACGGGACATCTTCAGATGCGCCTGCTCAGGTGTTTTTGGCAATTTTTTTTGTATCTGGCTGTGATCCAGACACAAAAGGATATATGTAAAATTCCACGACCAGCTGCACTTTAAATCCTATATGCGTATCCCTGGCCACGATGAAACTCTTCACTGTGAGGGCCCTGATATGATTCCTGTCGATGTGGATTCGAATGCATTTTACTTGCAATGCTTTCAGATATTCAAGGGAGATCAAAATTTGGGACAGCCTGTCTGCCTTTTTAAACCTTCTCCCACAAGGCATTGCCAAACCATTAGATGTAAAATATTATTTAAAAAATGGAATGGCACCTTCAGTTCATCTCATTTTAAATGTATGACAACCATTTGTTATGAAACTATAAGTGCATTGAGATGTCTTCACTCATCCAAACGCATTACTGTCTTTTAAAAACACATTATGTTAAGTGGGAATGCTGAGTTATGATTTTAGTGTGAATGTCAACGTCAACCTCTGCATTCTCCCATGTTAGTACATTAAGCTGACTGGTAGACTCAATGCATCTACCGCACTACAATGGTACGGTATAGCACTGTAAATCAGTCCTGGGATGGTCAAGATTATCAACTAATACATGTTTACTGTGCCATTTGAATCATTTTTGATACACTGTAGTTCAGCTAAACCCATATTTTTATATATACTGTATGTACTTAGACACTCCTTGGTGTCTGATTTCGTCCTTTTGTGTCTTTGAAGTTGAGCATAATAGTATGTACATATTTTACGGACAGAATTGTAATTTCCTTTATTAATATATGGAAAACTCTTTGTTACATTTGGGGTCTTCTGTATCTCTGTAGAACGCTTGCTACCTTAATGCCATTGTAATTCATTGTCTATTTTTGTAGATGTTTTAATAAAGTTAATCTTTTCAAATAAAACAAGATGTGCCCTCGGCCTGCGAGTTATTTTCATTATTGCTTTATCTACATGTTGTTTTTTAAATGAATCAATTGTTTGCCCTTCATGATTTCCCAGCGTCCACAGTGACATCTTTAAATTTCTTGTTTTGAAGCAAATCCTCACATTTGAGATTGAGGAACTTTAAAATGTTTTGCTCTTTCATTTTTATTTGAATGACTGATAGGTTATTAAAATAGTTGCTGATTAATTTTCTGTCAATCTTTTAATCTTTAGTCTGTTCCATGTAGTCTTAAATCAAACTTCAGCCACTTCAGATACAGTGAAGTAAAACAGACAGCAACAGTTTTCGGTGATTACACCATATTTTATTGTTTACAGAACATTTCACTAAAGATAAATCTTGGATATCTGACATTACTATACAACTTCCACACTATGTAAAAACGGCTTATATAGATAGACATGCAACAGCACATTTTTTTAAAGGAAAGTAAAAGATTAGTCAGGAGAACATACAAAAGAAGTAGACACAGATTTGGCTTTTAACTACAGCCGTCGTTAGTGACAGCCAATGGCTTACGATCAGTTGCATATGAGGAAATATCACCTGACAGAGAAGAGTAATAGGCTTAACTAGAAGTCAGCTTGACTTCACTGTTGAAGAGTTTTGACCAGGCACTTGGCGATAACAAAATTCATAAGGCTTGGCAGCTTAGTAAAGAGTCTGAAAGAAGATATAAATCAGCTCCCAATCGGAGGTACTGATCTGTCAATCAAAATCTTCCATAACCATGAGCGCTAAAACCCGGCAAAATCTATAATACTTAGCATCACATTGTCATGGAATATCAGTACACTCAATAAAAAGCCAAGAAGCGTCATAATATCTCCCTTATGTCAGTTTAAACTACAGGTAGCAAGTACATCAAAGCAACATAGTTAATTAATGTTGGTTAGTTAATGAGGGTCCTTCTTTACTTTCACCATATACAGAAAACACTGCAGCAAAATCAAAAGTCAACATTGTCTTTTTCCTATCACAACATACTTCCATTGCTTTTAACAGGAAACCCCTTCAGCTTGTTCCCATCAACCACTTCCTTTCTTTTCATTCTGAAACACAAAAAAAATCCTTCCACTTGCAGTACAACTGATATGATTTTGGGTCCAGTAATATAGTCAGTTACTATACAGAAACATTTGGATCAGTAACCCAACTTTGTATCTTTACAACTGACGAGATCACAAAAAGCAAATAAAAATGAAGCTGTGTTGTGTTAAGTAAATATTACTGAACTACATTGACAGCAGCGATGTGCCCGAACACAAAGTTATGAGGCGATGCTATGATAAAGAGGCTCAGCGCCGTTAATGAATTGAAAGGCACAAAAAACCTTTAGATGAAACACATAAACATTTCCTACATTAAAAAGTTAAAAAGGAATTACAGTTTATTGACCCAGTCCCTATGAAGGGAAAATTAGACTGATTGCAGTAAGATAAACAATAAAAACTTGCATACTGAAGGTCAAGTATAAGAGCAAAGACAGGAATTCCTACTCCGACTATCACTGGCTAAAGTCAGCTGAGGCTTTTGTCTTAGCAAAAAAGTAGCTTCATCAATAATTGTATCCCTCGCAGCTGCTTTTGCAGTCACCCGCAGCAGAAAGCACAACAGCTCAGACAAGGCACGTGAAAAGAAACCACATAAAGAAGGACCCATCCCACTTAGATGGAGGACAAACCAACAAAAGAGACACACAGTGAAACACGTGCATGCACACAGACAGACTACGGTGGTGTGGAGTCGTTACAGTGGTTATAGGCACAAGGAGGAGATGTGGAGCTCTTAGTTTGAATATCGGTGACACCTCTCCTGATTACTTCTATTCTCCCTCTCTTCTTAATACACAAGGGGGGTCTTTCCTGTAACCTGTGAAGTCAATGAGAGAAACATGAGATAATTACAACATGCACCAGTCATCCAGTCTCCTTTACAATCCTTTACACACATATTCCAACGTACCTGGGAGATGTTGATTCCAGTGAGTTTCTCCACAGCGGAAGGCAGCCTGGTCATGATTTCTAGCACCTCTCCAGCGAGCTTGGCTGCTCCCACCTCTGAGCCTCCACTGGATATCATCGTCACCTTGTTGGCCGCTGACAGTGGCTTGCTGATCTCCTCTGCCATCTGCAGGACAAGAAAGAATAGAGGAATTAATAGAGTCAAGGGGAAATTTGAAAAAGGCTAAAAGCAAAAACTTTCCAAGCAAACCTTTGAGGGAGTTGAAATCAATCCAATGCAGGATGTGATTGTATTTAACAAGGTAAAGGAGAGCGAAATATTTACTATAATAACTTTATATTGAAACAATAACTTGAACTGAAAATATCATGTCATATTCAGACCCTCATAACTTCAATGCAACAAGAAAGAGGAAGAGGAATTTGAACTCTTTAAAATACCAAAAACAAAACTCTATTCAGGAAGCTGCGGTTGTGAATTGATATAAGAAAAGGAAGTAAGAAATACTTTAAAAAATAAAATCAGCAAAACAATTCCCAAATGTAAATGAACAGAAACAAATTATCTTATGCTAACCTTAGTGTAGGTTAATCAAAATTAGTAAGGACCCCCACAAGCAAGAAGAAAGGCTAACAGAAAGATTAGTATAAAAAATAGAGACAAAGAGAGAGAAGATGGCATTGAATGAGCTTAATCTGAATTACTCACCTAAAACTAATTGAGAATTAAATAAAACTAACACCAAGAGGTCATCTATCACCAAGGCTGCTGAGTAACACAAAACTCACTTTTGTTAAAGCAAAGCACAATGGTCACCCATGGTTTGCAAGGTTCGATCATCACAGAGTAGTATTTCATCACACAGCTCTAACGTGTATAATTGAATTATTCATCTATGAGAGTCAGACTGACCAGCGGCAGTTTCTCCAGCAGCATATCCACCATGGCTCCATCTTTGTACTGCTTGAAGGCCTCGGCTTTCTTGGTCATCTGCTCCGCTTCAGCACGACCCTTAGCCTCCAGGGCAAAAGCCTCTGCTTCGCCCCTCATCTGCATAGACAAACACACACAGAAAATGAAGGACAAAGAGAGTTAAGATTACATTGGAAGTGTACAGGACTACATGTTTGGTAAATATAATAAGGTTAACAGACCGGGAAGGAAAAGTGGATATAAGATCTGGGGGGAGTATTACAGGGAAAAAAGGAAACGTGGCAGAACTCACTCTGATGGACTCGGCCTCAGCCTCAGCCTCCATGATGAGCTGCAGGCTGCCAGGATGAGGAGAGATTGCAAACTGTTTAACTGTCTTAAGTGATTTTAAACTCAGCTTTGTCCTTGTCAATGCTGCTCAGGTGTCGGATGCAAATCACTTGATTTGTTTATGTTTATGTGTTTTATAGATGTTCAATTTTTATTACAACTGTGCAGGCAACAGTATTGTGCTCTAATACTCACCGGCTCGCCTCAGCCAGCCTCTCCAGTCGGTATTTCTCTGCCTCTGCAGGCTTCTTAATTTTGGCCTCCAGCTCCTTCTCCTTGCGAGTGATCTCCTGTTCCTGCAGTGTAATCTGCTGTGTACGCTCCACCACCTGAACCTGCATCTTCTCCTCCTCAATGCGCTGCTTGGTCTTGGCCACCTGATGAAGGAAGCAGAGGGAAAAAGGAAAATCCAACACTACTCAACCTTCACTCACTGAAAAGTAATCAGAAATTATCTACAATCGGGATACATAGACCTAGAAGACCACACCATGAACAGATAACTGTACCTGAAGCTGATAGGCCATTTCTGACTCAGCCTTCTTGGTGTTGACTTCGACATCATAGGCTGCTTTTTTCAGCTCGTAGTCTCTCTGGGCCTTTGCCATCTCAATCTCATTTTTGTACTGAGCTGAAACCTTCTCCTGCATTGCGTTGGCCTCCTGTATAGAGAATGCAGCACGACAGAAACCGAGAAATTTTGTTACTTCTTTTCAAACGATGGATTATTCTAATTTTCAGATTATCCATATCAGCAGATTGGCAGGAGAGCTTATTTTACCCTCATAACAGCATCTCGTTTGTACTGAGCCTCTCCAATCCTGGCATCCTTCTGCACCTGGGCTGTCCTGGCTTTACCCAAGGAGTGAAGGTAGTCCTGAGAGAGAGAGACAAAGATAAGGAGACACAGAGACAGTCAACTATGAGATAGTTGGAGCAGTCAAAAGGAAGGTAATGCATTAGGCAAACAAAAAACAAGAGATAGTGTGGTTACCACTGAAGCACTTAGACCTAATTATTGTACAGTGGTTGGGGGGCCTATAGAGTCAGAAACAGTGAGTCAATATCAATCACCTAAGTGCATTACTGTAAGAGAGGAACTCATACAAGACTAAAAGCTTTCATATAAAAGAGATACAGGCTCACAGCAACGTTTCAGATTGTGGCTGCTCCAGTAATTAGGTGTTTGGTATGGTGTTCTGATCATTAGATATTTGTCAATAGCACTGGCCAAAAATAACCCTGAACAGATATTAAGTACCTGATCATCATGAACATCTTTGAGTGTGTAGCTGACAACACCAATCCCCATGTTGACCAGGTCAGAGGAAGCCACCTTGAAGACCTGCTCGGAGAACTTCTTACGGTCCTGGTAGATCTCCTGCACACAGATATATTCATCATAGTTATTAGATACTTTATGTGGGCATTCACTTAGTGTGAAGGTTAGTGATGACTCATAAATATAAAGCCTCTTGCCTCTTTTGGGCAAGAAAATGTCAAGTAAACCGATTTCACAATGTCAGGGCACCAACCTCCACGGTCAAATGGGCGATGATGGCTCTCTGGTGTCCCTCCAGTGTCTCAAGTGCAATCGTGGCGATCTCACCCTCAGACTTGCCCATAAACATTTGACAGGCGGTGGCCAACATCTCCTTGTTCTGGCCCTGAATCTTCACCTGGAAAAAAATCAGGAAAAGACAATGAGAAAAAGCGAGTAGCTCGTATTTATAAATAGTTCTTGACAGGAAAAATCTGAAATTATCTGACTTTAAGTTTACAATTAAATAAGCGAAGACAGTAGCACAAAAATAAAAAGCAGTTGCAGTCAGATTTTAATTTTTTTTTGCAACTTCCTTTACAAATAACCAAATACCCACCAAATTCTTTCCCTATGGGAGCATCCCACTGACCCTGTCCATCCAACCTGGGACATTTTTTCAAATGTTACTTTCCTTTCCCTTATTTACCAACAGTAAATAACCTTCAAACTAAACTGAATATGCATGCTGTGTGTTTATATATAGTACTGATGAATCTTTTGCTCTGGAAAAAACGATTTAGTTTAATTCAAGATTCAAGATTCAAGAACTTTATTTGCCATTTGTGCTTGCACACATAGGAACTCATATGCGGTTGTTACTCAGAGCAGTTCAGTCAAGTATATAAAGCAAAGCACAAGGAAGACATATATCTATCTATAAAAACACTATACATTTTTAAAATTGCACGAACCATAAAAGTTGTAAATTTGCATTGTACATTTTGAATTGCACATGTATATTGCATATTGCATAGGCCCCGGAAACAACATAATATAATATAATATATTATAGTGTTAGTTTGTTTCAATATTATTGTTATATTAAAAACAATCACACACTAGTTCACAGCCTGTTACTGTAGACAGGTGTTGCTTTAAAATAGCAGCTGAAACATTCCCTGCCTTGGTGTCTTTGCAAAATGTAAAATATATTATAATAAAATACAAATATATAAGTTCTATTATAATAGTATTATAATTAATAATATTATAATTATAATTATTCTATTATAACAACTTTATCTTTGTGTGGAAACACGCACAGATTTGTGACCCCATGTAATAAACACCATATCAGTCATCCACTTCTTAAAGCCTACCTGTGCAATGCCAGTGACAGAGATGGGGACACCATGACGGGTGTAGACTTTGTCACTCTTCACATTTAAAGTCAGGGTGTTGAGCGTGATTCTGAAAAGGAATGACACCAAATAAATGGGTTGAATGGATAATAACAAAACAGCAAGAATGAAAGGGCAAAGCAAAAGAGAGACAGCGGAAAATAAGTCGATTATCAGCCACAAAGACCTCCGTGCAAATGACAAGTGGCCGGTAATGGATACAGCATCCAGAAACGCTATGAATAATACATCTCTTCAATCAGCATTTATTTTCCTTGTTTGTTAACAAATGTATAAAATCAGGCAGCCATGTTGTACTTAAAATAGAGAGAAGAGAAAGGGAGACTGAAAATGGGATCATCACCTCTGGATCTTCTGAATACATGGGAGGACAAACACTCTTCCTCCAGCAATCATTAGAGGAGGAGAACGGCCAAAGCCTGGAGAGAAAGAGAACACATACCATAAACATTACAGTACCATTCAGTAACATAGCTAGAGCTAGTTACTCATATAGTAACCGGCTCAAGGACATAGTTCAACGTGCAACCTTGTATTACAACAATACACAGCAATTTATTCATGACTGTTTGAGCGTACACAGTACAGCAAGCTGGAAAATTCCTAGCTTACGGCAAACTGACAATAAGTGTTACTCAATGCAATCTTATCACAAGACATGTGACGATTAAATCACTCACATGACGCAAGTTTACTGGTCCACTACATTCAAAAACCCTTAAAATCTCCCTTTATTTGGGGGTTATTATGACACAGAACATAGCAGCACAGTGACCTCCTGAAAGTTGATAACTACATTACAGCATCACTGAGGCTGGAGCGTTTCGTTAACCGACAGGGAATATTCTGCTTTCGTAACATCCTGTTTAATTGTGAGGAAGTATCATGCATCCACGAGATGTAGGCAAAATAAATGAAGCACATTTCTTACCAGATACCACCATGGCTTCATTGGGTCCACATGTGTAAAACATCTTGACTCCTGATTTGAGGCAAAAAAATAATGAATGTGAGACGATTATTACAGATAGCTAAGAAAAGGACAATGTCATGTTTTCTTGGATATCATTGGGGTGCATTTGGGTTGTAAAGAAATTGGTGAAATTAGAAAACCAATATATTATATATGGAACTGGAAAGTATGTTTATTTCTGTCTGTAGAAAATATCTATAACCATCCAGTGTATACATAAACAATATTAAAGAGACTGATACAAAGCTCGTTGTTTAACCCAATAAAACATCACTTAAAATATATATTTCATCACAGAATCAAACACTTTTTCTAGGGTTAGGATGAGCAATAAAATATGTATATACAGATAGTAGAAAAGTCTAGAAAGTAGTAAGTAAGTAAGTAAATAAGTAGACTTGTAGTTAAACAATAAAAAATAAGTGAGAAATATAACTTAAACATCTATGTTTATGTTTGTCTGTAGAGAATATCCATAACTGTCCAGTGTACAAATATTATACGATATTAAAAAGACTAATACAAAGCTCATTGTTTAACCCAATAAAACATCACTTCCTCTATTTGAAAAGTGTCCTGAGATAACTTTTGTTATACAAATAAAAAGTGAATCTGAATAACTCCCTAAATATACTCTTTGCATCACAGTAAACAAACACTTTTCTGGGGTTGGGATGAGCAACAACATAAGACTCGACATTAACGATCATTTGTTTATATATTTAAGGATCATAATGATCAGTTTGGGTGTGAAGAGTTATGGTAGTAAATCCCAGGCTACAACTGACATGTGTGTATGTCGATCATTCAACACAAAACCCTTTAAAAGCGCCCAACCTGCCTGCTCCTCCCCCTCCTAACAACCCAACCACAAGGCAGTCGGGTCGGTATGACTACAAGTTGTCCCCCTTGTACACTAAACCCAACGAGCAATGTGGTGTCAAACATTAATTAGAGGCAGCAAAAAAAAAACAAAACAACAAA